TTAGTTCTTTGAGGGATATAACCAGAAGTGGAATTGTTGGATCATAGGGTACTTCTATTTTTAATTTCTTTTTAAAGATTTTATTTATTTATTTGACAGACAGAGATCACAAGTAGGCAGAGAGTCAGGCAGAGAGAGAAGAAGGGAAGCAGGCTCCCCGCTGAGCAGAGAGCCCGATGAGGGGCTCAATCCCAGGACCCTGGGATCATGACCTGAGCCGAAGGAAGAGGCTTTAACCCACTGAGTCACCCAGGTGCCCCTATTTTTAATTTTTTAAAAGACTGCCATACTGTTTTCCATGGCGGCTATGACAGTTTGACTTTTTTTAAGATAAGCAAGTAGGTAGGACTTTGAAAAACCTTTGCTTATTATGTAAGATGCGTTTCTCCTGCTTTCACTCACAGCTGTGTGTGTTCTTTCCCCCACAGACAAGGGAAGATGTTGTCTCAGTGTCTCTGAATTTTAACATCAAATACAGAAATACAAGGCCAACCATATTTTTGTTCCTTTGTAAGAAACCTAGGGGTTTCCCGCCCCCTTCAAAGCTGTTTTTAGAATTTTTCTTTTTCTTGAAATTCAAAAAGAAAATTCTCCTGCTAAGTATCCATGATGGGGTTCCGGGAGGCTGTGAGCCCTTTCTGCCTGAAGAATGTGTTCTTCTTTGGCTTTTGGTTTTCAACTCAAAGTGTTTCCCTCTGCTCTCTTTAGTCCCTGTGTTCTGGGATCCTTTTGAAAGCCTCTATAATTCACAGGTCAGACGCCCGTCCACTCAGTCTTCTCCTCTTCCTCTTCTTTTTCATCTGTTTATCCTTGTCTTCAACTTTCTGGCTGTCTTATGTGGGACTTTTTCTGCAGCGCACATTCTGTCCTTCACTGCCTCTGGCTCATGCTCTCGTGTCGCTGTGTACCTCTCGTTCCCACCGGTTATCCCTGAAAGGCCTCTTACACTTCTTCTCAGTGGGGGGGCTTTTAGCGAGTTGAGCGTCCCTTCTTTCGAATGCTTCTCCACGTGTCACAGAATCCATGCTGTTGTTCTTATGGACCTAAAAGCCCACACATTTTATGCTGGAGTTTTTAATTTTATTTCTTCTTGGTATATTGTTATCATTTTCAAAGCTATGCATTTCCATTCTGTCTTCGGGGTAGCTAGCAGCCCCCTACTCTGTTGTGCAGGATTTTCCCATAGATGGCGTATTGCTTTTCTCATCCCTTACCCTGGAATGATGAAGGCTCGGTTTGGTTTGGGGGTTAGCTGTATGGGTCGACGTTGGACTTCTCAATGTCATCCTGTGGCACCATAGAGTCTCCCTCTCCGTGGGGGGTTTCGTGTGCACGACCCAAGTTTGATTTCCAACATTTAGCAGGTGTTTGGTTTTCTAGTGCATGTTGCTAGCCCCAAACAGAGTCCTCTCTTGACACCACTGATTATCAAGAGGAAATTGAGTCAAGCTGTAGTTCTTTGACCAGATGCGATTATTTTTTTAAAACTCTGGTTTCTGATATGCACTGCCCCAAGCCTTTCCCTGCCCGAGAGGGCTTTGCCTGAGAGCAACACACCTCTGAGCGCACAAGGTCCCTTTTGGCCCCCAGATCTGCAGGGACCAGAGCAAGAGCAGTGCTGCTAGGAGCTGTCTGGGTGCACAGGACGAGGTTTGCAAGTAATCCCAGACTGCCTACCAGCCAGGGGCCCATGGGAAGAGGCTGAAGGTCAAGCTACCTACTACTCTATCTACCCCTAACCTTTGGTATTCTGGGTGGGAGGCCAAGCTGCTCTGGGGAACTAGAGCTTCTTGGTGATAGCACTTGTGTTCTTGGTGTTACCTCCCCAGTCTGGGGAGGAGGCTGCTGGTGAACTGTTATCTTCCTTCTCGGCGTTGTTGTGGGGCTTTCTGCTTCTACATGTGCCTGCTTGGGTATTTTTATAGGAGATGGGAAAAGGACAAATCAGGCCCTGGTGAGGGGCCCCATTTGAACTCCCAAGTCGACACCTATAAAAGCCTGGAGGTGTGGTTCTCAGCCATGGCCGCACACTGGAATCACCTGGACGGCTTTCACACATGACCAGTGTCCAGCCTCCCCCCACCCCGCCAGCCCGTGGCCAGCTACACAAGCCTCTGTGCAGCGGAGTCTAAGCCTCTATAGCTTCGAAGTTCCTCTGGGTGACTCCAGTGTCACCCAGAGGCGAGAACCTTTAACCCAGATTCGAGAGCAATGGTAGAGCTTGGGTTCTTACTCAGATTCTAGTCCTAAGTGACCTTGGTCCAGTCTTTTAACCAGTTTGTGCTTCAGTTTCCCCCATTCTACAATGAGAATGCTAATGCCTGCCTCTGCTCTGACCATGTAAGGATATAGTGGGATAAACACAGGCTGATGATGATGGAACTACCTAAAGACTCATGACTTCAAGGCCAGCAGTCCAGGACCCTTTGTAGGCCTTAGGGTGGTGGGTAAGGTCATTAACTCATTCTCAGGTACCTAGAGAATGACAGGGCAGGCCCTGTGGGATCCCTGCTCCAGGCTCTATACTAGGAAGGAGACCCCACTACTTTTGGAGTTCCTGGCTAAAACCAGGGGACTCTTCTAGGGGCACTGGCCTCTCTCAGACTCCAGGGTGGGAGCGCTCCGGGCACTGGCACACTACAGTTGTACACGGGAGACATTTCAGTGGGAAGTGAGTGGAGAGGCAGGAGGCCCAAGGGTCGGTGTGGGGCCTGTGAGATCTGTGAGCTTGAGTGGACTTCCAGGGGTAGTACGAACAAATGGCTTAGTGGAAAATTCAGACACAAAGTGAGTAAGAGCTTAGGCTCTGAGGTACTATGTTTCCATGAGAAAAGAAGTGGGGAAGAAGCTTGGTTTCCAGAGTAGGCAGGTCTGGGTTCAAATCCCAGCTCTACCATTACCACGTAGCCATGGGCAAGTTGGGTAACTTCTCTAACCCCAGATTCGTCATCTCTAAAATGGGATAATAGTAGGACCTGCCTCATGGGATCACTGCGACGATTACATGAGACGTTACAGTTCAGGTCCTTGGTTCAGTGTCTGGTGCGTAAGGAGTGGGCTGCCGCCGCTCTCCTTTTCTACACACACACTTTAAACTGGTGAAACTCTGACATGTATAAGCCATAACCCAGACTCACCAAAAGCAGGAACTGGAGGGACATCTCTTGGAGATCTTCTCTTCCAGCCCCAAATTGGCCAGCCAAGGAGGCTGAGGCCCCATCTGACCTTTGAGGTTTCCAGATACCCCTTCCACTACATAAGGGACAGACATTAAGTAAGTCTTCCAAGAAGATCTTCCTTCTCTGGAGATTCCAAGATTCAGGCATCCAGGAGAGTACTCAGCCAAAATACATGGTTAGGAGAGGTACTGGATGGTGGGGATGGCATGTGGCATGTTCTACATCCTGTTCCATCCCGTGTCCTATTCCTCTTGGTGGCACAGTCACCCAGACCCAGAATCTTGTTGTCATCTTTGAGTCTTCCTTTTCCATCAACCCTGAAATCCATCACATGGCGACTCTTTATCTTGGCAATGTCTCTTGTGCCCATCCTGTATCGGGCAGCTAGTGCGGCTCAACGGACAACCCCAGAAATCCTCGTGGCATGCGGTGTTGTGTTATAGTTACATTATGTGTGTGCGGGCTGGCTAGGGGCCACCTGATCTCATCTAGACTAGGGTGGGGCCCTGCTTCACATGTCTCTCGTCTTCCCTTTGGGACCATCAGACCGGCCCACAGATGGTCTCTCATGCCAATGGGAGAAACACAGGAGAGTAAGCATGGCTACATAAGGCCTCTTAAGGCCTCAGATCAGGCGCCCCCGCCCCCGTCACTTCTGCTGCAATCTGTTGGCCAAAGCAAGTTATATGGCCAAACCCGAAGAGTAGAGGTAGAAGAAATGTGTTTCTGAATATAATCTAAACTACCACAGTTTCTTCTCTCTCGAACTCCAGAGAGTGTAGTTCCATTCAGCCTGCACTTTGGTGGGGGCTGCCTTCTTGCCTCTGCATCCATGCCATATTACCCTTGTTTGGAGCATAGATGTGACCGTGGCCTTTCATGACCCATCCAGAACCTTCTCTGCCAACCATCCCAGAATGCAGTTCCTTGGCTGGATTCAATTATCCATACTCTAGCCCCTACCCTCTTTCTCAGCCCTGCCTCCGTTTTTTTTCCCATCTACACCACCTGTGTAGGACCCAGACTGCATTCTACCTCCCTATTTCCCAAACATCCACGTTACCCTCCCCACATCGTTGTTCTCTCCACCTGAAATGCCCCACATTCCTGGGTCAGCATCCAGCTCTTCCGTGGCCTTGATTTCCCATTCATAGTGACAATGTCTGCCTCTGAGGTCCCAAAGTCCTTTCACCTGGACCCCACAGTGGCTTTGTTACCTTCTCTTGTATCACAGTTATCAGTGAACGTGTCATTTCCTAGTCCTTAATACAGTGCCTGGCACACAATGGGACAATAGTGCTGTTAAAGAGGATGAATGAAAGTTTCGATGCCCCTAGCAGACAGGGGCCTTAGCTGTCTCTAGCCCAGTGCTCAAGCCACTGTGGGCCTCAGTCACTGATCGCTGACGTGCAGGGCAATGCTCTGGTTCCCTCCCTCATGCAGAGGGCATGCACTGGGGATTGGCAAAGGGAGGTGGTTTAGGCACACGGAGTTGAATGGAAGAGGTGATAACTCTGGGAAAGGTGTCATCGGCCCTTCATCTCACTCCCCCACCTCAGCATGAGGGCCAGTGCGGCAAAGCTGAGGGACCCCCCCAATCTAGGAACTGAAGAAGAGGTGCTGTGGCCAAAAGTCACGGTGGCCCCTGCTACCCACAAGTGAGTGCCCCACCCTCACACACCAGCCAAGGGTCACCCATCCCACCTTCCTTAAAGCCTGGAGTTTACCAGTTGTCTGAAGCCGGCCCTTAGATGGCAGGCGCCACAGCGACGAAGCAGGCTGACCCCAGCAAGGCTGACTTGGTCTCTTGTGCCTCCACAGAAGGACTTCACCGTCCGGGAAGAGCTTCAGCAGCAGGACGTGGAGCGCTGGCTCGGCTTCATCACCTTCCTGTGTGAGGTGTTCGGCACCATGCGCAGCAGCACGGGCGAGCCCTTCCGCGTGCTCGTCTGCCCCATCTACACCTGCCTCAGGGAGGTAAGAGACCCGCCTGGCTGTGCCTGCTGCCGTGCCAGGGCACACCACCCTAGAATGCCTGTTAGCAAAACTCCAAAGGGCCGGGAAAGCTTCGAGGCTCGTACCACCTGGCGGGATCCATCCTTCGGTGAACAGGAGTGTGACTTCCCATGCTTCTGTCGGCTAAAGCCAGGTTTTAATTGATTGAGTTTATGGAGAAGGAAAAAGCCCACCAAAGGAAATTATTAGTAACTCAGACTTCAGGAATTCATCATTTAGAACGCTGCCTGCCGGGAGGGGGTCTCCGGCAAATATTAATCGAATGAATGGTTCTTTGGTCTCGATGCGTTTACCATTAAATTATTTATTTTTTAAAAATACTCACATCTAAGTTTCATCTGAAAGAGAAATAAGTGAGAATAACCAAGAAGCTTCTGAGGAGCGAGAGTTCAGTGACGTACTTGCCCTGCCAAGTGTAGAGTCTGCTTTAGAGTGTCGTCGTGGCTCCTCTCGGGGGCCAGAAGCTGGGGGCTCATTACGGGGCAGTTGGTGTCATCTAGGGAGAGGTTGGTGGCTCAGAACACAGCCTTGAGGGCACCAAACAGGACTGTATTCCAGTTGTATTTTTGAGTTGGAGCCAACAGGACCCGCTGACGTGAGGTTTTGGACAACAGAGGAAGCGACGTGGGATCCTGGTTCACCAGCCTGGTGGCGCCATTTTCTGGGAAGGGGAGGGCTCAAAGAGAGACAGAGTAGGGATGGAAACCAGGAGGTGGGTTTTTTTGTGTTTGGATGACCGGGTGGTCATGCCCAGAGAGTTGTCCCACTGTTGCTTGGGTAGAAGTGCCTGATCATGAGGATGAGGTCGGCCTTGGGACATGGAATCAAGCGTTGTGTGAAGTGTATGTGTATACTTGGTGCTCAAGGCTGGGACCAGATGGGATCCCCCAGGGGGAGGGTGTAGCTGGAGGAGTGGCCGGGCTGTGGGGAGGCAGTGGACGGGAAGGTGTGAGTGTGGACAGGTCTTTGGAGAAGTGTTTCTGTGAAAGGCAACAGGGAAGAGGAGCTTGTCGACTGCAAGGGGACATGTGCAGTCAGGGGACATTTTTGTGTTTTGCAAAGGAAGAAGATAATAGAGCAACGTAAGAGAAAGGAGAGGGTCATTGTAGATGGTTTTGAAGCATCCGTTTATGAGAAGCAGGGGGCTCGCTCCCCACTGTGTGGATGCTGAGGAAAGCAGAGTGTGCAGACCTCTCTCAGACATAAGTCATCGGCCTCTGCCGCTGAGCCCAACATACTGCTTAACAGATGCGTATCAATTCATTATTGTTTCTCAGATCGGCAAATGGCCTCCTCCGACAGTATGTTGCTCTCAACTCGTCCTAAGCTCAGGACGCAGTACCACAGGAGGTCATTGCTTTACTTTTTGCCTCCCTGGGGAGTGATCTGAAGGCAGCCCTCTTGGACGATGGCCACTCAGGGTCCTCCAATCCTTGCCTGAGTTGCCCTGTGGCCCTGACAATCCAGCTCAAGGCAGGGCAGTGACCTGGATTGCCCCAACACGTTCCCTCTGCGTGATCTGGGCCCCTCCCGGCGCTGCCATCACCTGCTTCCCCGACAGGAGGCAAGGCCACCGCTGAGCGCTGGCCCCTGGCTGCCAGGACACTTCTAACACCGCCTGAGGTGGCGCAAACGTTCGGATGTGAGATCGCGCGGTGCCAGGAAGCAGGGAGCGTACCCTCATGCACACTTGTTTGAGGCGTTCCACTTTTCAGGGCAATGTCACAGACACAAGTGTCTGTGCTCTCGGTAAACTCAGAGAACAAACAGTCCATCCAGGGCTTGTGCCATCGTGTAAAATGGGAAACCAGGGCCCCGCGTGCTGAGCTCTCTGCTGGAGGCCCACAGTGAGGTGATTCAAGAACCAACCCTGGGCTCCTGTCCTGCCTCTGCCAGGTTCCAGCTGTGCTGTCTAGGGGAGAGATCGCCTGCGCTGAGCCCTGGTGCCCCCTCTGTAGGGGGAGACCACGCTGCTTGCTCTGAAGGGGCTCAGGGAGAAAGACATGGTGTGGAGAGAGTGCTAAGTGCACCAGGACAAGTACATCCGAATGTGGAAGGAAATGCCCCGGGGACTTGTTCTAGGGCAGGGTGGCTCTCTGAGAGCTCAGTGTCCTCCAAGTTGACCAAGGGCCAGTCTTAAAGGGGCAGAGAGGCTGAGTGCCCTGCACTGGGACACCTAGCCGGTCAGTGCCAGAGCTGGCCTGGGGCTGCTCCACTACCAATCAAGAGCTCTTAGCTTCCTTTACACAGGGCCTTAAGAAGAGATGGGAACATAAAGGGGTGTCCTCGGGATCGTCTCAGTCCCCACGGAGAGCCTGTGCCTTTCCCAGCTCCCTGGAGACAGACACCTGAATTCTCAGAGCCTGTTGCTGCTACCCCCCGTCATACACACACACACTTCCACTGAGGTCTGATATTCCCAAAGCAGGTTCGGTCAGCTCTGAGAAGTTTCTAGAAGCCAAAGCTACTGCTGCTGCCTCTCTCCGTGGTGGAAAAGTTTAGACTTTTCCCCTGGGGCCAAGCAGATGGCTGACCCAGATACCCACCGTACCACCCCAGCCTGGGTCCTCCCAATCCTAGAAGCGTCCCAGGCCTGTGTTTCCAGCTGCCCACTAGATACATCCAGGTCATGTCTCAAGCCCCTCCAATAAGATGTGACCAGAGCTGTGCCCCAAGGCCTTCCTGCTCAGTCCAGATCCCAGTGCGGGCCCAGACTCACCCTTCCGGCCCCCCACAGCCAAGCAGCAGCCCAGAACTCACCCAATTAATTACCTGTTCTTACAGCTGTAGGTCACTCTACCCTCTGCTTCTGCACACCCTCCCTGGCTTCCCCTGCTCCCCTTTCCTCTGGGCCTTGATTCAAACAAGACCCACGGGCCATCTTGGTGTGAAAAGCTCAAGAAGAAGATACAAAATCCTCACAGCCCCAGTGCAATCTCAGGGTCCTCAGCTCACGGAGGCCACCCTCACTGGACGTGGGGCTCACTGGCCTCCACTCCCCTTTAAGACCGAGCGCGTGCTTGGCTGCAAAGCCCCTCCAGACTGGGGGCCACCCGGGGCTCTGAGAGCCGCCCTACCCTAGCGGGAGTCCCCCGGACATCTCCTTGCACACTCTGACCCAGTTGAATTAACCGTTCTCTCTGGTTCTCTTGGTTATTCAAGACCTTGGACTCCATCCTTGGAGTCCTCTCTCTACCTGGCCAAAACACCTCTTCCGGGGCCCAGCCTAAGCCATGTCTTCCAGGAAGCTCCCCGCCCCCACCCCCAGCAGAGCACAGGGACAGCTCCCAAGAGCCAGACGCAGCACTTGGCCCTGACAACTCCAGCCTTCTGACGGCATCTTCGTATTTTAGTATTTGGTAATTTGGCATTTATTTAGTATTTTATAATGATAACAACACACTCTGGAAGGCATTGACCAAAGCCCATCATGTATTCTTTTCTCTCTGAACTCGGACACCACCCTGAAGATGATCATCCCCAGCTGCGGGAGAGCAGAGAGGTCAGGCAGTTTGCTCGGGGCCACACAGCAGAATGCATATGGGAATCCAGGTCTGAGTGCTGGAGTCCCTGCTCCTGACTGCTCTGCTCGCGCCTCGTGAAGCACCTTTCTGTTTCCTTAGTCCGTAGCCCAGCGCCTAATACGCAGAAGAAGCCAAATAGGTCATCAGATAATTGATTCCACTTCTGCCATAAATAACTTGTGCCAATCAGACCTTTCTTTGAGGGATGGAGAATAATGTTCAGTGAGCCTTTTTATTGTTTCAACACCAGTGGCTCTGCCAAGAGGGTTTTCAAAGTGATTGAAGAGTATTTTCGGTGCCTGCAAGGGGCAGGAGTCTCCTTGCCCTCCTGTTTGCCGCTCATATTTGCTTTGCGAGCTCTTTTTAACTTTTTTTAAAAAGATTTCATTCTTTTAAGTAATCGCTACACCCAACATGGGGCTCGAACTTACAACCCCGAGATCAAGAGTCATACACTCTACCCACTGAGCCAAGCAGGCGCCCCCCTTTTCTTTATTTTTTAGTGTTTATAAAATTTTATTATCATAAGAACACTTAATATGAGATTTTTAAGTATACAGGACAGTATTGTTACCTCTAGGTACCATGTCATTAGTGAATCCCTGAAATTTATTCATCTGACATAACAGAAATCTTGTGTCCAGTTTTTAGCCACTGACATTACCCCCCTGGCCCTAGCCTCTGGCAGTCACCTCTGTTCTTTGCCTCTATAAGTCTGACGATTTCAAAGATAAGTGGAAATAGGCAGTATCTGACCTTCTGTGACTAGCTTATTGCACTTGGCATAATATCTTCCAGAGTCCTCTGTGCTGTCCCATATGGCAGAATTCCCTTCTCTTATAAAGTGGAATGGTACCGTCGACCCCCGAACAACATGGGTCTGAACTGTGGGGGTCGCTTAGATGCGGAGTTTTTACGATCCAGTGCTGTAAATGTATTTTCTCCGCCTTATGGTTTTCTTAGTGATAGTTCCACCAGCAGACTTTATTGTAAGAATACAGGATATAACACATATATATACAAAATATGCATTAATTGACTGCTGATGTCATTGGTAAGGCTTCTGGACAACCAGAGGCCATTAGCTACGTTTCGGGGGAGACAAAAATTACATACGGATTTTCAACGGCACAGGGGTCGGCGCCGCTAAACCCCACGTTGTTCAAGGGTGAGTGAATGGATATACCACACTTTTTAACCTCTGCTCTGTTCCTGGGCTTCTAGGTCGTTCTCACATCTTGGCTGCTGTGAAGAGAGCTATACATTGAACACAGGAGTGCTCATATCTCTTCAAGATCTTGATTTCAGTTCTTTTAGATAAATTCTCGGAAGTGCGATTGCTGGATAATAGGGTTCTATTTTTAACTTTTTAAGGAAGGTCCCTACTTACTGTCTTTCAGAGCAACTATTTCTCCCCGTCCTTGCTAACACTTGTCT